ACGCTTGACCTCAAAAGAGATTATTTACTTACATAATCTATGGATGTTCCACATGAAAAATGCAGAGTATATTTTTTTAATGAAGCAAATAAATGTAAATGTCTTCACCCTTACGTCTAAAGTAACCTTAGGGGATGCAACTTTTTTATTGCATTCCATTTCAACAAGGGCACTAATGTATCTGCACACTGGTTTTAAGACTAATGTAGGGCAACAAGCTACGTGACTCTGAAAACACAAACACATGAGAAAACGCACAGCCAGGAAGGAAGCTCTGTAGGGATCGGTCAGTTCCCACTTGGAGATTTGTCTTTCTAGGCCTCTCTTTGAAGGCCTAATAAACTCAGCAAATGCAAGAGATTAGAAGGATTTGGAGACCAAAGCCTGAGAGACGTCCCAGGACAATACCCCACTGAAAGGCAAAGACTGTTCTGCTCCGGTTACTTCACTCTAGCTACGGCTACATTGTAGCCTTCTTGCGGAAAAGCATATGCAAATGAAGCACGGTGTGGAATATCACTGCGCTTTATTTGCATAAGTAATGAGCAGCCATTTTTGTGCAAGAGGCTACAATATGGGGGCATGAGACTAGCTGGTGATTCAGATACTGAGGTTTTCACACAAGGTGGAGCACATTGTGTTAATACATAGAGATGTTCCCAATTTTACTCCTACCTCAGTATTCAGGAGCGAGATTCGTCTAAGGGTTACTTGCTGTTAAATCATATTTCCCTCCATCAGACATTTCCCCATCTGATGTAAACAAAGTGATGAAAGAAAAATCATCTTATTGCATCTCTCTACTTTGTAGGCAGAATGCATTCTGCATCTGCAGTACAGTGCGTGCATTTCGCTAAGAACTGACTAGCCCCCTGCCTGCACAGGGAGCCACAGCTGTGTGTAAGGTGTGATGATGGAAATGTTTGTGTCCAGCTGCAATCAAGAGTCATTGGAGCACACTACAAAGCTCTCTCGATTTTTTATTTTACTCACCTTAACTCCAGAGCAGAGAGGACTTTTTAAAAAGCCCTAGTGCTTGTTATAAACAAACAAGATCATGCATCTCTCTCAGTCTCCTTCACTGATTCAGTAAGACCTTTAACAAAACTAAATCCAGACAAAATGTAAAGGGTGAGGTTTTCAAAGTGGGCAAAGACATTGAGAGACAGAACTCGCTAAATATTAAAGTAAACTGTGTCCACATCTCCTACTTAATGTTGAATTTCTCAACTAAAAAGTCTGTGATTTGAAGGGACCAGTCCCCCGACCTTTAGATTTCTATTTTTATTTACTGAGACACAAAGGTAGCCAATACTGATTTTTTTTTTCTATTTATGGAGCCAGTTATTACCACTGTCACTTGAAGGAACCTCAGTAAATCTGTTTAAATGCCAAGTAAAAATAGTGGTAAATCCTTACTCCCCCAAATACTGGAGCTTTTCCATTAAAGAGAGTATTTTGCCACCAGACTTCATTTGAGTCAGGCCAGAGAACTGTATAATTCAGAGAGCAGCCTGGAAGGGGTCTATTTAGGCTTCATTGCTGGCAGGAGAAACTCTGCAGGATTCCGCTGAGCAGCATCTATTATTGATCTGAATCCTAATTTAGGAGATAATCACTTCATTTCTCTCCTCCAGAACCGAAAAAAATTCACACGCAAAAATGAAACTGGTGAGTTTCCACTTTTAATGGCTTTTGCAAGAAAAGATGGTCACTGGCACAAATGTGCTTGTTTTCATTTTAAGAGCAAAGCAGGTGGCAGCATGGTAGGTGTTTGCAATTCTGGGTGAGGGAATCTAAAAACCAGGGATCCGATAAAATATGACTGGCAAGAGATAAAGCTCAAGCGCTCCTCCCCCCTAGAATTCCTTTAGGGCATGAAGGAAAAGCTGCAACAGACGTCACTACAGCAAGCACATTGGTCTACACTAGCCCAGGCAGGTTGGTTTAAGGTGCTCAACTCCAGCTATGCAAATGCACAGCTAGAGTCCGCTTACCTTAAGCAGAGCCGTGGCAGCATCCATACAGCGGGAGGTGGACAGGAGCACTTGCTTCTGTCGGCTTCCCTTACTCCTCGTAGGAGGAGTACTGGACATCGGCGGGGACTCACCTCAGCATTCGATTTACGGGTCTATACTAGACCCGCTAAATCAAACTCTAGAAGATCAACCTCCGGAGTGTCGTTCTTCTCATACGTATAGATGTGCCCCCTATATGTCCTGTGCTTGGCTGTAGTTAGATTCACAACTCCGAGGAGAAAGCAGAAGCTAAACCATCTTTCTAGTCACAAAAAAGCCTGAGTTAGCAGTAGAGTAAGTACATTTCAAGGCCAGCAGGGAATATGGTGATCTAGATTTGGCAAGAGGGTTGCTAGTGGTGGGATCCTAGCCTCTAGTACATTTCCTACCTAGTATCTCCTCATGATTTAATAATGAGAAATTGTTGAGCCTGAGTCTTACATTTGTCAAGAATAAAGTTTAGCACATGCTTTACAATGAAACTGACTCACTCTCATGTATGCATTATCCACTAAGGCCTCAGCCACTGCAAAAACTATCGAGTCCTACACCTTCCCTTCCAGAGAGCTACAAACTAAAGACAGTGAGCAGCATCAAATGCAGCCATTTCTGGGGGTGGGGGTGGGGACTGATAAATTCACTACCACATTACAAATAAAATGTGCTGCTAATACAAAATTAAATTACGTGAGCCTCAGCAATGCAGTTTCCCAGATAATTACCCAAATTTATACGTGAAGTGCTTGAAGAGTGCACAGTGCTGCCTATGTGCCAGGAGCAACACTTGATTGCTTCTTTTATTCTATTGCAGGCAGGTGGACGGAGATGAATGACCGGGGCGTGACTTGTTTGCTTCTCTGTCCTACATGAATCTGTAGGGCATTATGGTGGCCTGTGGGTTCCATTAAAGTGTCCCTGATCTTCAGTCAGGCTGAGTCCCAGGAGCTGCACTGTCCGTTTGCACCTTGCTGTGACTTCTCCTGGTGAGGAACTAACGGATCCACATGAATCACTGTTCACTTCCAAAGTGCAGAGCAGCCTCTAGTGAGTGTGCACAGAAAGAAAATGTCAAAGCCGATTATTTCAGGAGGCAGCAGAAAGCAAGGACAGGGCAGCAGCTCAAGGAGAATCCCGCTATTCCTCTCCAAAGACGGGTTCCATTTACACTGGAATTCATAGGGTCCAAAAGCTCTGAGCTTTGCACATGCAGAGGCTTTTCACTGCTCATACAATCCACATTTGTTCCAGTCTCCAACACCCTCTTGGAACTGGATACCATTAGCTCAGTTCCTAAAGCTGGATTAGGTAACGAACTGGGGTTTCCTCTGCTGGTTGAACAACGTTGCAATGGGAAAATTAGAACTACTGCAGGGTATGGCCTGCCAGGTCTGCACTCCACCACCAAGTCAGGAAGAAATAAACACTTTCCCTGTGGACAAACAGCCAGGCTGTGTCTAGACTGGCCAGTTTTTCCGGAAAATCAGCCGCTTTTCTGGAAAAACTTGCCAGCTGTCTACACTGGCCGCTTGAATTTCCACAAAAGCACTGACTTCCTACTGTAAGAAATCAGTGCGTCTTGCGGAAATACTATGCTGCTCCTGTTCGGGCAAAAATCCCTTTTGCGCAAAACTTTTGCGCAAAAGGGCCAGTGTAGACAGCTCCGATTTGTTTTGCGCAAAAACGCCCTGATTGCGAAAATGGCGATCGGGGCTTTTTGTGCAAAAGCGTGTCTAGATTAGCCATGGACGCTTTTCCGCAAAAAGTGCTTTTGCGGAAAAGCGTCCGTGCCAATCTAGATGCTGTTTTCCGAAAATGCTTTTAACGGAAAACTTTTCCGTTAAAAGCATTTCCGGAAAATCCTGCCAGTCTAGACGTAGCCCCAATGTCTACAAAGGGGCATCTGGAGCTGACCCTCCCCCGACCTGTTGTTTGCTCCCTAACAGTGAGGCTGGTTCAGACCTGGTGCTCTGCCAATGGGACTCCTGACAGCAGCAGCAATTAGTGAGTGTGTATTGCCATACTAGGAAGGGATTCCACCTTAGACCACCCTAGAAGGGTTTAAAACGACGTTCTCCAGAGCTCCTGGACAGATACTGTCCTGTTGAGCTCATGTGCTTTCAAGGCATAAGCATCACTGCCGTGCACAGTGGATTACGGGATACCGCATAACTGCTAGACCCAAACACTTTGCTGAAGAGCTGCGGCTGGTACCCGAGTTGGGTGCTGGGCAAACTCATGGTGAGAGGGGGAGAGACGCACTCCCAGCCTGAGCTCAACAGGCAGCCGTGGCGACCTTCCACAGAATCTATTGTGCCCCAGAGCCCAGCTGAGCGACGCACTGAAGTTGGTGCTTAAGTTTCCCAGCGTGAGCTTAACTGCGAGCTTGTGCTCTCAATGGGGTACAAGCAGATGCGGCTGAATCGGGGCCTGCAGAGCAGCATGCTCCCCTCACCCAGCCAGGCCCCGGAAGAGCTGCAGTTCCTGTTAGGCCTCTCCATGCAAGGAGGAGGGGCAGGGACTTGTGTCCGGTGCCAAGCAGGAATACACAATCTTCTCTAAGGCCAGTCAGGCGCCGGGGGCAAATCCAGCACAGCTGACTCTGGAAGGTGTTTTACTAGGCCTAATTTGCACCTTTCTGCCCACCTGCTACCCACTCCCCGGTATATGCCCCATATTAACAGATCTCTTGTGCGTTGGTGGCTGGGAGTAGGTAGCCGTGAGGGAAGCATAACAGGGCATAGGCAGGGCTGTTCCTTCCACTGTCTTGAAACATCCCAAACAGGCAATTTGCTTCATCACGTGGCTAGACTCAGGCCTTTCATAGGCTAGTGCGAACAGCTTCGGTCTAGCCTCTCAGAATCAAACTTGAATGGCAGGAAAAGGATTTGATTCTTTAATTTTGGCGTTCATTTTTCAGTGAACCATACATATTTTTTTTCTGAAGACAAAGAGGAAAGGAAAAGCTTCATCCATTATACATACCCTGTGATTCTCTTTTTTCTTTATAGGTTGACACAAATCATGCCGAAGAAGGTGAAGAAATCATGTTTATTTCTGGTTGAAGACTGATTACATCACAATCATGGATAATTTAATAGAGCAATTTTATACTCTCAGAAGAAATCTAAGAATAAATATGAAAAAAAATATTTTATTTCCACTGTCTCTGAGGATGAGTGCAGTTTAGATGGTGTTTCTTACAGGATATTTGTCACACACTTGACTGTGCGCTGAATATATTATCTTGAAAGGGTAAAAAAAATCCATCCAAATATTGTAACTCACCACAAAATTAAAAAAATCCATGTATTTGTCCAAAGTGAAGATTTAGTTATATGGTAATTAATGAATCCACATAGGAAATGCTCATTGTCCAAGAAAGCATCCTTTCTATTGGTTAATAATCTCTTCTTTGCAGAAAAAAATCTTGATTTTTCTCCCCCTTCTTTTGAGTGATGAATCACTATTGATTCTTCAGGCTGTAATACAAAAAGGAAGCAGAGATAAGTTGCATTCCTGTCTTTTTCTAGTTTTTATTTTTGCTTGTTTTCTGTTGTTATATAAGATTCTCTCTGTGCACCTGTTTCCGTCCTATGTACCTGACTGCTTATTCAATTATATATCATCTTGTAATTGTGCCTAGGAGACAAAGGTATAACAAATCCAGGGCTGGAAGTTGGATACATTTGGACTAGAAATAAGGTGCAGATTTTTAACAGTCAAGGGGATTAACCATTGGCACAACCTACCAAAAGTTTGTGGTGGATGCTCTGTCACTGGACTTCTACATCAAAACTGGATGTTTTTCTAAGAGACACTCTAGGCTCACCCACAGCTATTGACTTGTAGCAGAAATTAATTTAGAGTAATCCTAGGACCCGTGCAATGCAGCAAGTCAGAGCAGATGGTCACAGAGGCTTCTTTTGGCCTTAATATCTCTGAATCTAGCCATCAAACCATCACTGCAGCATCTGGAGACCACACAAACAATTTTATCCTCAACACACTTCCAGGGAGTAAAGAAATACTGGTATCCTCACGTTACAAACGCGGGGCTGGAGACAAAGAGCAATTAGGAGCTTTGCTCATAGTCATGCAGAAAGTGTTTCAGAGTCTAGAGTTGAACCCACTTCATCTCCAACCAGTGCCTTCATGGCAGCACCCCCTTCCTTTTGGATACTTATTTCACTGTACCATGGGGTTAGACACAGTAACCTTCCTTTAAGTCCTCAGTATAAATCTGAAGTTTTTGCACACCAGGCAAACTGAGAAACTAGGAAAGTTTTCAGGTGGTAAAATAATATGATCTAATATTTATGAATTGTTAGATGGGCTAATGCAAAGACATTTAAAAACGGAAGTAATTTCTCTGTATCCTACATAACAAGACAACAAACAAAAACTGTAAAATGCACAAAGCCATTCATGCATCCAACGAAGTGGGTCTTTGCCCACGAAAGATACGCTCCAATAAATCTGTTTGCCTATAAGGTGCCACACAGGACTCCTCGTCGCTTTTGCAGATTCAGACTAACACAGCGACCCCTCTGATACTTAAAGCCAGTTAGCAGTTTTCTAATTATGATCAAAGCAACAGAGGGTGTAAGAGACATCTTTATTTTTGCTCATATTAAAAGGGAGTGGAAAGATTCTAATACTGAGGGAATATATTACACTCACTTTTTATAGGCAGTGTAATTTTTCAGATTCTCTTTAGAAGTAGCCAATTAATAACAAATTAAAATGCCTTTGCATCCCATCTACCTGCATAATTGTTCATCTGCTATAGTTGTTATTGTTCTAAGCTTCCTTGTATTTTAGTCAGCATCCTACACAATACCAAAAGCACATGGGAAATTGCATTGCTATTAATAAATGTTACAGTCATCAAGATAAAAAACATTTTTAATTTGAGACAGATGTATGATAAGCTCACATATTTAAAAAAAATCCCGAAATGTAACTGAAATCTAGCCTTAGAGAGGAGTGATCATTCCTGCAGGATACATTTAATTTATTCGATATCCTTCTCAGGATGCAAGCCACTTGTAGAACAGAATAACAACAAATACAGCATAATAAAATATCACTTCTCTAAAATGCAACCACATAAAAACAAAATGAGGGGCTGAATTCAGCAGCTGTTTGCACAAATGTATTTCGAGGGGGAAAGAACCTGAAAGGTTTCTGGTGCTTTTTGAACATGTTAAAGGATGGATAATAGGAGAAGTTGCAGTGGTGCGGATGGAGCTCCTCCTGTAACAAAGCAAAGACACTACTGCCTGCAAGCTGAGAGGCAATGCTGGGATCCCAAAAGGATGGTGCAAAGAGCAGGCTTCACATGAAGCTAGTGCCAGGAGCTCACAGACTTGGAAAATCAGCAGTGCCCATTTAAAGTCGATCTGCCACTTGCTTTGCTGATTCTGGACAAGTCCACATGCAGTGGACCTGCAGTTTTCATTTTATGTGTGAAGCTAACACTGGATAGGCTTCTTGCCCACCCCTGCCTTAGCCCCACCCCTTCCGCCTAAGTCCCGCCCCTCCAGCCCAGAGCTGACCCTCACACACACTGCCCAGGGCCCGGCAAAGTCTCTCGTGGAGCCTCTAAAAACACAGTCCTGGTCTATAATAGACCAGGCAGGTCCACTTGAGGTACAACTCCAGCTTCCCCGAAGCAGAGCCGGGAAGCATCCACCCAGCAGGAGCCTGATGGGAGCACATGCTCCTGTTGGCTTCCCTTACTCCTCGTAGGAGCACGGGATGCTGATGGGGACTGCCTTCCCCGTACAATGTTGTGGTCTATACTAGACCTGCTAAATCAAACACTAGAAGATCAGCCTCCGGAGCATCGGAGTGTAGACATGCCCATAGCGAGGCACATGGGCAATACCTGAATGAGCTGAAAAAGAAACACACCATTGAGATGATGAATAGCATGCAAGCAGCCATCGCGATTAACAGTCAATCGATAGAGGCAGGGGATGAATTCAATTATTTGAGATTGTCCATCTCCAATCAAGGAGGCTGCTCCAAAGAAATCAAAAGATGACAAGAATCACTGAGCGATGACCTCCCTCGTGACAGCAACTGCACAGGGCAGATGAAATGGACAGACGGCATCCCACGCCTTTGTGCCTGTAGCTAGTGCCCAGGAACTCCAACTACCGAGCCCAAACATAGGAAGAGAGGAAATGGTGAACTCCTACTCTGCGTGGCTGTCCGAGCTCCGAAGGCGTTAGAGCCCCCGATCAGGAACAGGCTTCACCCCACCAGGCTGTATGGATCTGTTTACACTCTCTCAGATGGGATGCAAACAATATGGAAATGCAATCATGGTGAGGAGTGACGTGTCTCCGGGCGTGACATTTACAATATTTTGATTAGCTCTGGTTTCTGAATGGCAAAACAGCTTCTGTTAATAAATACCCAGCTCCAATTAGACATCTGCATTCAACGTCTAAAGAAAACCCAGCGCCACCAGCTGTGTCACTTGCTCCCCTCCTGGGGCTCTCCCAAGACGACACACAACAATTACGTGAACAGCCCTGGGTAACGATCAGTCGTGTTCAGAACCTTCAGGACACTTTCCCAGGATGACAAGTAATTGCCAATCTCCAGCTGTTCAGTTGGGCACCATCCTGCACCTCTCCTTCAACAGCCCTCCCCCACGGACGCAGCGGGAACTCGATTTCCATCTTCTCATAGAATCCCAGAGCAGGCAGAGACCTCAGGAGTCATCCAGTCCAGCCCCCTGCCCAAAGCAACCCCAACCCCAACTCAACCATCCCAGCCAGGCTGTGTCGTCCCATTCTCTCACTCGATTGCCTCTTCTGAATCCCCGATTTGGGATGTGTCTGCTCTGCAGCCAGGGGAGCGAATGGCAGCTCCCTAGGCCGACCTGCACCAGCTGTACTCAAGCTTGCTGACCACAGAAACGAGGAGGCCTGGAAGCAAGCCCCCAGACTCCCCGGGCATGGACGCACTTGTGCCGCCAGCCTGCGCCCAGGCCTGCTCTCTGCTGTTGTTAGCAAGCTAGATGAGTGGCTGCTGGGGCAATTCTGCACCCACAAATTAAAACCTCGGAGCACATTTTAAAATTCTGCAAACTGTAAGTGCAGCTAAACAGCCTGGCAGTGGGGCACATGGGCCACTGGCTGCATGGAAGTGGGAGATCATCAGACATGGATTTGGTGGTGAGGCTGCACCCAACCCTGACACAGCACAAAGGGTGGAGGGGAAACAGAGGCACAAAGAGGGGTGGTAGCTTGCCCAACGTCACCCGGAAGGACAGGCACAGAAGCCAGGCCACTGACACCCAGTCCACTCTGCATCCTCAGGGGGAGAGGAGGAATGGGGCACAGGGAGATGAAAGGGCAGACTTGTCAGAAGTGCTTTGCCCCCACGTTCCGGTGAAGCCAAAAGGGAGCATCTTAAGTAACTCACCCCAGGTCACACAGGGACACTGTCACAGAGCAGGAATCAAACCCCAGTCTCCTGAATCCCAGCACATGCCTTAACCAAAAAATCCTTCCTCTCAGCATGAAAGGCAATGGGACGTGCTCACAGGTCCCTTCACCAATGGGAGTTAGGCACCTACATGTTCTTGAGACTCAGACCAGGAGCCTACCTGCATCTTTAGGCATCTAAATACCTTTAAAGTTCTGCTCTTTTTGAACTCCCATGTTTCAATATGCAAAACCCCTGGAATGGATCTGGAGCTACAACAAGACCCATAAGTTCATGTGTCCGTGCAGAGCTATTTTCAGTGGGACATGGTGATGACCACAATCTCTTTTGCCTGGTTCTGTGCATACCAATAAATAAGGAATATTTTTCACCAATCAATATGGAATACTCAGATTTCTTCACATCCAGAATCTGTGATTACTGACTGTTCCTCCTAACTGGGGGATTGGGGCTCTGAGTTTTAGAAACATTTTTATTTGATATTTCCAGACAATATGAAATGAACCAGAAAAGGGCCAAGAGTTTTCTTATGTATTGTCTGTTATCAGCAATGAAGAGCGAGGCCAACAGGTGACTGTCTTCAGATGTTTCCCAGCTAATGTGACTGCAACTCTGGACAAATCCTGCCTTTCACTCGCCATCAGTCCCCATGGGAACTATGCTGCCGTTGCAAGAGGACACTCACAATCACACACCGCACCTGGCCTCATGCTGCATGAGCCATTCTGTTTGCCTGTTGTTTATTTTGCAGGGGTGGGGGTGTAAAAAGCACATTTATCTTTGGAAAGCAAGTCAGACCATGACTCAGTCACCTTGGTGCTGTTTACAAGTCCCTAATTAAAGGTTTAGTTCTCCTCCCTCGCTGCAGATGTTCCAGAGTCCAGCACCATTTCAGAATGTTTGTGCGCAAGCACGCGCACAAGAACTGCTCCTCTAATGCTGTGCATTCACAAAGCACATTTTTAAGTAGCTCTCGCTCCTCAGTCCAGCACATGCCTTTGTAACTCATCAAACCCTCAAGGAGGACCACACGACCACGGGGGTGAACGCATCTGCAGCATGACAGATTTTTGCTGCTTTTCTGTATCTGGTTCTAATCCCCTTCAGTCCTGAGGTTCATTACAGGGGCTCAGGTAGATTTCTCTCATCTTTTTTACATACATTTCACAATATTTATGTTTCTGAAAAAAGCTTTTGGATGTAAACTGGCATTGCATATGGCCGACCAATGGGAATTCAGAGCTGACAATGCCAGCTGCATCCCTACACAGGCATGCCCTGTGCCACACACATCCGACTCATGAATATTCACGCTTCCAAAAAAGGCTCCCCTGCAGCCTCCAGGCAGCAGGCAAGAGACACGGGGGTGGCGAGCGGCCAAAGTGCTGGCTGGAGGACTGTGAAGGGGCAGGGGGCAGCCATGCAGCCAGAGGCTGGAGAGAAGTGGCACTTTGACGGGGAAACGGCCTCTTCTCTACAGCCACCAGCTGCGTGGCCACCCCTGCTCCTCCAGAGTTGCTGCCTCCTGGGATGTGGGGGCTGGGTGCAGCCTTTGGAGGGGAGTGGGGTGACCATAGGATGCTGGCAACCCACAGGGTGGTGGTAGCTGGGGAATGCCCAGAAGTCACGTAAGAATCTCCACCTACCTCCTCGTCCTCCTCTAATCCTGCCTTTCCCCAAGCACCAGCATTCAAGGTTAAATAAAAAATGATTTCTATTGTTTTCATTGCAAATATACAGGGTTTCGTGGGCTAGCCTGGAAAATTAACTACCATTTATAACACTGTTTCATGGGAAAATGTGTTCCGAGTTCCAAATAACCGAAATACAAACGCACTTTTGGGACACACCCCGTTCATACGCTGGGGACTTCCTGTACATTTCTGTATTCAGTGCTGCAATACCAGTCATGTCACTTCCCCTGGCACCTCCTCCCAGCCTTGGCCAACCAAGTTCAGCAGACAGGCTCCAGAATTCAGATCTGACTTTGAAACTCCTGGAAAGAAAGATGGGGGAGGGAGGGAATGCGAACAGCCGGTTAGATGGACTTTGAATCCCAGCATCATTGGCTTGAAGGAGGAGCAATGAAGGGAAGTCAGAACAACATGGCCCGCCAAGCAGCAGCTCAGGGACTGCTCTTCAGTGAGTTATGTAAAGCATAATTTGGGAATGGACTGGCTCTGGGGCACTTTCAGGAGCTAGCATCCATTTATTGTGTGGTTCGCTCTTGGTGTATATGGTTCTTGTCTCCCACCTGCTTTCCTGAAGCCTAATCTGCTGGGTAATTTTGGGGTGTGATCATTTTTCCATGCCCAATCTGTCCAGAGAGGACCAGGCTTTCCTTTATAAGCCATTTCTGAAAGTATGCCAGGTTCATAAAGTGTTTCTGGTTGCCTTGGAAACAGCAGTTCACTAGCCAACCCTTTGTGCTGAAAGGATAAAGAGAAAGTATCATCACTAACCAAAGACAACGGGAATGCTGAAAGGAGTACAGCCCGCCAGCACACGGACTGGCGAGATAAGGCATAAATATGTGCTAAGGCAATAATGCAATGAATCTACACTACTCAAGGCCTGTAAGACAACAGCGTAGTTAAGCTAATCAGGGCGGAAGGCCTCCAAAGCCTTAGCACATGCAGCTAAGCAGGGGCAAACCTACATTATAAAATATCCCAAGACAGACTGCTGCAACAGTCAACCATCTCTACTGCGGAAAGAAAGGATGAGTCTTGAATCATTGTCATTCGCTGGCTGGGAAAGGGTTTCGAACAAAGCTTACTGGTGCTATGCTCTTATGCCAACAATCGCATAAGTAAAACATCTCCATCTGCATTGACTTCATAGCCATGACAGGTCACCGTGTTGGTCTCTATGGGTATGTCTACACTACCACCCTAGTTCGAACTAGGGTGGTAATGTAGGCAACCGGAGTTGCAAATGAAGCCCGGGATTTGAATTTCCCGGGCTTCATTTGCATAAAGCTGGGCGCCGCCATTTTTAAATGTCCGCTAGTGCGGACTCCGTGCCGCGCGGCTACACACGGCACGAACTAGGTAGTTTGGACTAGGCTTCCTCATGAAATAAGGCGTAACGGTAGTTCGGACTAGGAAGACTAGTCCGAACTACCTAGTCCGTGCCGCGTGTAGCCGCGCGGCACAGAGTCCGCACTAGCGGACATTTAAAAATGGCGGCGCCCAGCTTTATGCAAATGAAGCCCGGGAAATTCAAATCCCGGGCTTCATTTGCAACTCCGGTTGCCTACATTACCACCCTAGTTCGAACTAGGGTGGTAATGTAGACATACCCTGTCTGCAAAAACAACGAGGAGTCCCGTGGCACCATAGATACTAACAGATTTATTTGGGCATCAGCTTTCGTGGGTAAAAATCTGACAAAGTGGTTTTTACTCACAAAAGCTTATGCCCTAAAGAATGTATTAGTCTCCAAGATGCCACAGGGTTTGGTTTTCCCCTCCTAGCCATGGACATAATCTGTATTAGGGCAGATCTGCCTAGTGCTTGAAATTTCTATATTTCTATTCCGACGATGCCCATACTGCACACTCATCCAGCCCCTGGAGAAATGCTTGCTTCGGTTCGGTTGCCGGCTTGCTAGAAATAGAAGGAACTCCTACGTGAAGCAATGTGCCAGATGTATTCCAGGGACAGGTTTGGTCCAGTTGAGCTCAATGCTGAATTGGAGGAATTAGGGGGCAAAGATAATTGCTGAGAACCCCCTTTATCAGAGTAACTGTTCTGTGCTGGCCGGATAGCTTAGCTTATCACAGACCCTTCTTAAACATCATCCCCCATCAGCCCCATCTAAGGGCAGACACAGCCCCATCTATGTCTTCAAACGAGCAAGTAAAATCTGTTCCAGACCAATTATAAAAATGAAGATTTTATTTTGTGTAATTCCAAACTGCCAACCCTATTCTGTCTTACACATCTGCACTTCACTAAAGGAGATGAAGAATTCTATATTAATCTGCTGAGTCACTTAGCCTGAAAGAAAATGGTATAAGCATGAACAATGAATAGAAGAAATAGAATAATCAAAGCAATTTCCCATAGAAATTGGTCAGATGAACATCTCTAATTGGCATTCTATTATTACATTTGCAACATACTTTCCTATGGATTTAATAGTAGGTTTCCTCTCTGATTAAATGCCCATGAAGAACTCATGAGACATTACCAGATTTAAATCATTATGAGTAAGTGGGAAGACACTATATTTAGAAGAAGCAATATGAATATTATTTTCTGAAACAGCAGAAGGTCCTTTTTGGAGAAAGAAAAGCTGTCCAAGCCATGGAGCCGTGCATGACACTCTGAGCGTCATGCAGGCATCTTCACTTTTTGCTGATATGAAAGAGAAATGGGCTTCCTGCTCGCAGACCGAGAATGCTTTGGGAGTACTTGAGATTTCCACTGGGTCTTGACACCAAAAGAGGATTATACTTCTTGCCTCCCTTGTGCCCACACATGGGAATGAACCATTAGAACCCAGCTACTAAGTGTTATCTGCTTCCGACAGTTACCTCAGCCAACATAACAGCAGGATTTATAGGTCCATATCTCTGGGGAAAGTGGTGGGAATTGCAAGTAGCTGCCATGCTTTCTCTCACACCTTACGTCCGTTAGTTCGAATTAACTTTGTAGTGTAGACATACCCCCTGAGAGCCAGGACTAGTGGCTGTAAACAAACTTTAGGGGACCAGAGGAAACTTGGCCACACCCACGATAAGTGGACATCTGACTGGCTAACATCACGCTGGATCACGGATGTTGCCAAACTAGAGAGAGCTGGACTAGATATTCAACCTGTACTGTCCAAGAGGCCAGGGGACAGATTTGCTCACTCTCTCAAATTTTCAGAGCAGGTTGGGGGAAGAATTAAGAAGGATAATACTGGGTGCCCGACGGACTCATCTTTCTACAAGGTCCAGTCCTCAAGGATTTGAACATGGCACCTTGTTAACCGAGGATGACTGAAAAAAACAGTTGGTGAGTAATGAGCTAAATGAAGTATGAAGAATGGATGCAAAATCAAAAAGGGAGCCTACGTCTATAACTGCGTGTGGGCAGCCCGCCTCGTGTGATGGCTTCCTCAGCAGATCTCGGTTTGCCATGACCTTTATTTCAAATGACATCCAGGAGACTCTTCTGGTTTGCAAATGATTTGTGTGAGCCGTTCCTGTCTGAACAATAGCGAAAGTCCGTTGAAAACGACCCTGGCTCTGGCAGTAGTGCTGGGTGAGAGCCTCTGGGTGGGAGGGCAGCAAAGGTCTTCTCAGTTGTGCCCATGACGCAGGAAGGCTGGCAGGGGGAGGGTAGACAGCTCTGCATCAGAGAGCAGGGAGCTAATCCAGCAGAAGGCTACAGCTGCTGTTCTCCTGGGCTTCTGCTGGTAAAGCTCTGCCTCCCTAGGTCTTACACAGCTCCTGTCCACATGAGAGCTGAGGGCCACCCCAAACCCAAACCTCACAATGCCACTGTGGGACGGGCACAATCAGCAGCTCTCCAGAGGGAGGGCTGAGGCACAGGCTGTGTGTGACTCTCCCTTTACACAAGGGCTCTGTGGCAGAGCCTGGATCTGAACGGAGATCTCCTGAACCCCAGTCACTTTAACCATGTCACCTCCTTGGTTAACCATGCTCAGTTATTAGGTGCTCCTCTGGGGAAGTGTTAAATCAACCCAGTGCCTTCCGGTGACCTCTCCTCCTCCTGCCCCTTTTCTGAGCTTCACTGGTCACTACAGGAAACAAAGGGTAGGAGCAAATGCTCAGTTTTCAGAATGGAGGGGTACAGAGCAGGGCTGAGAACACAGCTGTTCAAAAGTTGTAGGTAAATACAACTTAGATGGGGCTACTATAAGGTGGGTGCATAACTGGCTGGATAACCGTACTCAGAGAGTAGTTATTAATGGTTCACAATCCTGCTGGAAAGGCATAACGAGTGGGGTTCCGCAGGGGTCTGTTTTGGGACCGGCTCTGTTCAATATCTTCATTGACTATTTAGATATTGGTATAGAAAGTACGCTTATTAAGTTTGCATATGATACCAAGCTGGGAGGGGTTGTGACTAATCTAGAGGATAGGGTCATAATTCAAAATGACCTGGACAAATTGGAGAAATGGTCTGAGGTAAACAGGATGAAGTTTAATAAGGACAAATGCAAAGTGCTCCACTGAGGAAGGGACAGTCAGTTTCATACATACAGAATGGGAAGTGACTATCTGGGAAGGAGTACGGCAGAAAGGGATCTAAGGGTTATAGTGGACCACAGGTTGAATATAAGTCAGCAGTGTGATGCGGTTGCAAAGAAAGTAAACATGATTCTGGGATGCATTAACAGGTGTGTTGTGAGCAAGACATGAGAAGTCATTCTTCCGCTCTACTCGGCCCTGGTTAGGCCTCAATTGGAGTATGGTCTCCAATTGGGGGCACCCCATTTCAAGAAAGATGTGAAGAAATTGGAGAGGGTCCAGAGAAGAGCAACGAGAATGATTAAAGGTCTATAGAACATGACCTATGAGGGAAGGCTGAAGGAATTAGGTTTGTTTAGTTTAGAAAAGGGAAGATTGAGGGGGGGACATGATAGCAGTTTTCAGGTTTCTAAAAGGGTGTCTTAAGGAGGAGGGAGAAAACTTGTTCATCTTGGCCTCTGGGGATAGAACAAGAAGCCATGGGCTTAAACTGCAGCAAGGGAGGTTTAGGTTGGACATTAGGAAAAAGTTCCTAACTGTCAGGGTGGTCAAACACTGGAATAAATTGCCCAGGGATGTTGTGGAATCCCCATCTGTGGAGAAATTTAAGAGTAGGTTAGATAAATGTCTATCAGGGATGGTCTAGACAGTATTTGGTCCTGCTATGAGAGCAGGGGATTGGACTCGATGACCCCTTGAGGTCCCTTCCAGTCCTAGTATTCTATGATTCTATGAAAATTTCATAAAGGATCTGGAAAAGGGATAAGCAGTGAGGTGATGAAGTCTGCAGATGATACACAACTATTTAAGAGAGTTAAATCCAAAGCAGAATAGGAAGAGTTACAAAGAGATCCCACTAAACTGGGTGACTAGACAACATGACAGATTAAATTCCATGTTGATAAATGCAAAGCACTGCACACTGCGAAACAATCCCAATTATATATACAAAATGATGGGGTCTAAATTAGCTATCACCTGTCGAGAAAGAGATCTTGGAGTCATTGGGGATAATTCTCTGAAAACAGCTGCTCAGTGTACAGCAGCAGTCAAAAAAGCAAACAGAATGTAAGAAAATGCTAGGAAAGGGATTGTTAATAAAACAGTAAATATCATATTGCCACTACATAAATCCTGGCATGCCAACACCTTGAATACTGTATGCAGTTCTGGTCACCCCATTTCAAAAAAGAGATCTCAGAAATGAAAAAGGCACAGAGAAGGACAACAAAAATGATTTAAGAGTATGGAACAGCACGTACACGAAGTGAGATTAAAAAGACCAGGACTCCAGCTTGGAAAGGTGATGACTAAGGGGGGACATGAGAGCGGTCGATACGATCAGAGATACCTTTTATAGCCTTCAGGGCTGAGTAATATTGAGTACTTGCACCTGGAACAGTTCCCAAAGCTCAAAGTGTATTAAGAGAGATTAGTTCATTAATCTACTCTTTGGTACGATGCATCTTTATCATTTTATTTTAATAATTTGTACTAATTGGCAGAGCAGATCCTTCAAGTCTTGGAAAGTTGGCTAATAGTTAATCACTTTACATCACAGAATAAACATTTGCACGTGTGGAAACATCTAATCCCATTACAGCCTCAATGTCCTTCCTAGTCCTGCATGAGAGAAGCTCCTAACTCAATGCCTGCAAGCTTGATGAGTTGTGGCATCTGTACAGGCCTGGATGTTGTTGGCACGTCAGGTGGGTGGGTCTCTGCTGTCTATTTGCTTTTCATGTCATTTGGAAAGGGGTGTCTCTTTCAGGCTGAAGGAGCACTGGGACAGGCCAGCTCATGCTGTTCCCTGGTTTGTCTCAAATACAGAATATTTCAGTGTTTAAGGAGAGTGAATATTTCAGCCTCATTATCCGACTGAGTCACACACACACCCTTCCCCTCACTCACCATGTCCCCGCTCAGCCCTGATCTCATGCAATGGCTTTTGCTTTAGTTTTGAAAAACTCTCCCGGAGCCCACCCAGGGCTCAGTTCTCACTCTGGGTATTTCCTTTCTTCTGAAGAAAATCATCAAATCTACTCGATAGCTGCTTTTGCTTTCTGGCAAAGCAAGGTTCCTTGGTTTGTCTGGTTCCATATTGCTGTCCTGCATCCGCTGGGCATAGCATCTGAACTCTGTGTCCTCTGAATATTACAGAACTGCCTGGCATTAGAACCTTTCCTTTGCATTATTTATTCATTTTCTTGTTGGCCTTTCCCCCCCGTCACTCTGAAGACACAGATGCTACTTGGTTAAGGAGAGAGCACATATTTATTCAGAAGGACACTTACGCTGGTCTAGTCTGTGTCTAATATTCTTTATACATCAAAGTACAGGCTGTGCACGGCAAAATGCAGACCAGGTAAATTATAAGTGAAAGTTAGGAGTATAATACACTCAAGCTGTGCTGTGAATTTACACAGCGCTTTAGAGAACAGAAATTAACACGTAGAAACTTTCCCTCCCAAGGAGTGTGGCCTTGGTTTGCACTAGGACCTTATTTCAAAATAACCCCTCTTCGGTCGAATTAATAAGAGGAGAATCCACACTACCAAGCTCATTATTTTGAAATAATGGGCCGCTTATTTCAAAATCTGTATGCCTGCTTCTCTCGAGGAATAACACTAATTTGGAAATAGCAGTCGTGTGGACACTCCGGTGCTGCTATTTCGAAATAACGACTACCCAGAGTAATTCAAATTCATTACTCCCCCCAGTGCTTCCTGGGGCTCTAAGTCGAGGTAGCGCATCCACATTAACTGAGCCTGCCTCAGACTGATTTCAAGGCTTCCCCAAAGTGAGGACATGCTATTTCAATTCTGTTATTTTGTGAGTTATTAAATCGATTTTAGTTATTTCAAAATAGCGTCCTAGTGCAGACACGCCCTTACAGTCTAAACGAGATGAGATAAATATATATAAGGCAAGTCATAGGCCAACAGTGGATCATCTGACAGACATAAACGAAGGAAAGAGGGATTTTCTACAGAAGTATGACTTCACATGGGCATTGCAGGAAGAGCTGGAAGTTGTTGAGTAGAGGAAGTCAAAGGGAGTATTCCATTCCTTTTAAATGTTGGTGTTTGCTAACCTCCAAACAACCATCGTTACACAAATTCCTCACACCCAGCTTACCCGGCAGGATTATCACAATCCTCTGATCAGAACCGAAATGCACAAAATCAGTTCAAGTGTCCGGCATCATAGACGGTTTCCTAGAACCACGATGAGCTGAAAGCAGATTTGTATCTGGGTTCCACCATGAGAATGCATCAGGTTACCCTGCATCTGGTGAGCTAGCTCAAAGACATCACCACTAATAAAATCTTAGTGAAAGCAGAGATTGAAGTAGAAAGCCCAGTAGTAGTGAAGTAGGGATTCACTGGCTGGTGTGTGCATATTTTCAGCTAATTTCATTCCTTGTCTAATGTTCTCACATTTCTGCACACGGGTTTTAGCTGAGCTGAGATGCATAAGTGCCAAATATACCATCTCTTCCTAAAGTATTTGTGGCCTTTCTGACACAGGACACGTTCAAAACTTGTGAGAAAGCCTGTTCTCATCAGACTTCCAGGCCCGGGAGTGATACCCAGAATGCTTTGCCACAACCAAGCTCCAGAGCAGTATTTCCCAATCTTTTTCAGCCGTGGAGCCCCTTAGGGGTCCTGAAAATTTGGTGAAGCCTTTAAAATATCATGATTTTTCAATTCAATAGGTACGCAAATAAGTAGACAACGTTTTGGAATTCTTATTTCTTATTCTTATATTCTTGTTTCTTGTATTTTATTTCTTGTATATTTCTTATACATTTTTTCTCAAGAAAACTATCAGAAAATTAGTAAAAAAATAACAGGGTTGTACAACTACCATTAATATTTTCTCACAGAACCACTGGACCCATGACATGGAGCCCCCGGGCTGTATGAAGCAGACTTTGGGAAACCGTGCTCTAGAGGGACAGGTAAACAAAGAACCAACATTGCATGTCAGGTTCAAAGAACACAGTCAGGCTGATCTATATTCAGCTCTGCCTCTCTCTACAGGAACCTACCAATATCTTTGTCTATGCTTGTAAATCTCTTAGGGATATGGGGATGAAAGGCATTATGGGAGTGCCTAAGGTTTTTCTTGTATCTACATCTCTCATCACCCATAGACAGACAAGCGCTAACAGGAAGGGTACTCACTTGGTCTGATGTTTGGAACCCTTCAGATGAGCGTGATACTGTTCTATTGAGTTTAAGGTGACATTACAGATGTTACAAGTGTAACTCCGCTTCAGACCTGTGAACAAAACCCAGCATGGTTAGTTGCACTATGTTACCAACACATAAACCAACCCTTATTAGGAACCAGCTGTGCATCTGCGGGTCCTAACGTGGGACTTACAGCAAACACTGAACTAAGGGTTTATTCAGGAGTTTTTTCAGTGGCAGTCGGTGGGGCCGACAGGCTTGCTGGGCCACGGGGCAAGGCAGAGGGGGCTCTGTGCCCCAGACGGGGCGGGGTCTCGGGCAGAAGGGGAGGAGCTGGTGCTAGCTTCCTCAGGCTGCCTCGGCAGCGCCTGGAATTCCAGCGGTGATTTGAAGGACCAGGGCTGGGGCTGTTGCCTGGTTGCAATTTGCTATTCTCCTTTCCCTGTCTGTTCTCATGCCCATTGCCCTGCCATCCCCATTCTATACATGGCTCTGTCATCACATTTCTGTGAATGGCTCCATTTGGCCTGATCTTTGAATTGCTAAATGCTTCCTAATGCAGATGAAGCCAGAGAGAACACGGGATAGAGGGAGACAAGAATCCATCTTCTTTTAGACCTCTGAGATCATCCTGCTTGCTCTGTGGCCTACCCTACCCTGGTTTGAATCAACATGGCAGCTGGATAATACAAGCAAAGATGAAAATCACCCTAAAGAGAAGCTGGTTGAAAATAAGAAGGATGATTTTAAACAATCCAACAGAATTCTCATTCGTTAGAACACACTCCAGCCCTACATCTCTCTAACCAAGTCCAACTTCTCCCCAACACCACAATTCCCTCCACACCAGCTCAGGTTCTTACCCAACATCCAGCAATGGAAGCATCAGTGGGGTCTCAGCCAGAAGGGAAATCGTCACTGCAGCCCATGGGGCAGAGTGATCTGAGTAAATATGAGTCTCCTGTCTGTATTACTGTTATTAGTAGACAGGTCAGCTCCTTCCCATGATTTAGCCCCATGAACCAGTGGTGATGAGCAATTCTGCCCCTCTCTCATTCGCTCCTTCTGTTTGGTAGTTAGCACAGTTCTGTGTGACTCCTCATAATTAGAGTGATAGACAAAATGCTCAGAAGAGCTCAATACATAGAGTCAGGGACAGATTTTCCAAAGGGACCAGCTGTCATGTAACTGACCAGATTCATGGGGTGCCTGTAGGAAACCAACCCCAAATGGGCTGCACTGATCACTTGACTAGTGGATCCACATTGGGGGTGGCCTATCAAAACCAGAGCTATGTGCTAAGATGCCTGACACATTCGTAGTTGGTTGCAATATCTGTCTAGGGCTCTTGATGATGATGTTCTACTCTTGCTCACAAAGCAACTCCTCACACGCTTTTGCTTTCCTCTTCATTGTTCCAAATGTAGTCTCCTTACTAAAGGAGCCTCTGAATTTTTTTGGGAGGATCCTGTATGCTGCAATCTAGCCCTAAAGACTACAACTCCCATGAACCCTTGAGGTAAAAGGAGGAAGCGGGGCTTGTCTGAGTATGTTGGGAGAGGGACTCTCCATTTTGGGACGGAGGAGCCAGGCTGCTGTGGAGGAGTCTTTGTCCAATCCAGGAGTTGTTGTGTTGCAGCTACAGCCTGGGTTTGAGAGCCTGCAGGGCTTGGATCTAGCAGGCTACTTCAGGGACTGTTGATGTCCCTAGAGGGGAGAGACTCTGACTGTGCCTGTGGCTTAGAAGGGCTACATATACCTGCACACAGGAGGAAATTGTAAGTAACTTGGTTCTTTGGGAAAGTGCTGCCTGGGACAGACCTCAGAGATCCAGACTAACTCCGGGTCCAAAGGGAGGCAGAGCGACCAGCCCAGTGAACCAGAGCTGCTGGCATTTGGTGGAGCCGGCTCCAGGGGCAGAGGGATTTTGCAGCTGGATGCTCAGCTTGGACTAACACACACAGGACCTGCACGGTGCTGTCTCCACTCCAGCTGCAGACCTCCAAGCACGTCCATGCAAGCAAGTCTGGGACCCTACTCCAGAGGAGTGCACACTCTGGGGTGGGATAAATGGGGGCAGTGCAAATGCCAGAGAGATAAGTTCCGATTATTTCTGTGTTCTTTGTCAATTGATTTTATTCACTGTTATCCTGTTAAACCCTGTTTCTTTAAGTTGTTAAGTAAAGGTGTGTTCATTCTATGTAATCAATTAGATATGTATTAGTTGTAAGTGTTGTCCTGGGGTTAGATCCAGATTACTGCTGGAATAATTTTATTCCTGGAGGCTCCCAAAGCACACCATTGTGTGGAGGCACCGCCACTGTGTATTCTTAGGGAGCAAGGGACTGCAGCAAGGGGGTGGACAGGGAATCCCCAACCACAGACCATCACCGCTGGGGTACTCAGGATCTCCTTTTGTGTTAAAAACATCAGGCGCCCAGGCACACATGTGAGTGTGACCTGCTCCCCAGTAACCCATGAAGGAAAACGGGGGTTACACAACAATAGACAAAGAGCTGTTTATACAGGTGTTACTCTGGCTACTGGCCAAATACCACCGAACAAGAAATAACTGCTCAATGGGCTAACCAGTGTAAATGTTTTCATGTAGCGTGTACTTAAAAAAATAACCCTCACTGATGCCTCTTGCTGTCCATTGCATTGTTGATTCAATTGCTACACTTACACGGGGTTTCTTAAGTCAAGCATTAGCATTTCTTCATGATGTAAACGACAGGAGACGTTCTGCATGTGCATTAGATCAGTTAGATGAACAGTAAAGGCAAGAGGAGATCATGCACGTCAATGTGCCTTGCTGTACATGCTGGACTAACCACTCATCTATTTAAAAGACATGCTCTCCGGATGGTCTGTATTTCCTCCTGTAACAAAGCTGTTTCTCTACAAGGCAAGTGCTTAGTTTAAACTGCACTGTTTACCTAATGCACATTTCTACCCCCAGGCGTAGACTGCAGGGCAGGGAACAGGCTATTAAACAGATGCATACACATTTACACAAATAGGCAATGCAAAGATTTATGAGCAAAATTGCAAAGAGAATTTCTCTGCATCTTCATGTGCAAGTGTCTGAGCTAAAGAACTAACTACAATCCAGGAAATCAACATGTGGCCTGGCTGTTCAAATGGGGCTAAATTGCAATTTGGGCACATAAAATTCCTCTGAGTGAGGTCTCAGATGCTCAGCATAGACAAGATGAATGTATTTATTCAAAGAGTACATGTGCATGCTGCTGTGAGTTTGCACAATTTCATAAACGTTGTGATGCACAGTGCACTGCAAAGAGGAGAAAGGAGATAAGAGACGTGCTGAACGGTTACATTTTACTGCAACGTATTTCTGAAGACATGTCTGACAGTAAGTAATCTGCCAACCAAGGTAAAATATAAACACAGAGAGGCAGGGTCAGGGAGGCCGATCTATGTACCTATGATGGGGTGCAGTGGGCCCCAAAGTGACACACCCTGTCCCAGAAAGCCATAGCGAAGTCCTCCAAGGAGATTAGCCTGGATGCAGAGGAAGTGGCCAATCAGGGGCCAGTAAGACCTATAAGAGGAGCTGCAAACCAGAGCTGCAGTCAGTGTTTCTGGAGCCCTGAAGGAACAAAATCCAGAGGTGGCTGGCTGGCTGAGAGAGTGGCAGAACCATGGAGAGTTCCGTATGAAGAGCTGTTGTGGACTATGTTGAGACGGAGATAAGGCAGTAAGGAGGAGGAAGCTGTCTCTAGGAGGGGAATCCCTGGAGGTACCGCTCTCTCCAGGTGGGGAACAGGCTAAGAGGGACACTGATCGAGGGCACCGAGATGGACCCGTTAGGTGTGTACCCTGAAGGGGTTTGCAATTCACACACAGGGTGTGTGACTCGGCCGGACGGCTGAGTTGCCAAAGAAACTTTCAGCTGATGGACTGAGGGAGTGCAAGCACACTCACTCAACCAGAGGGGGGCGCTTGCAGGAAGTGAATGACGCCTGTTACAGTGCCCCATAAAAGGTTACTTTATTGTGAAAACTTGCAACAGTTGTAAGGCTGGCACAGACACTGAATTCTGTAATAGCATCTTGATATTGTGAGTGACGGGGCTACAGACTCTCTTCCAACACTGTCCTTCCCAGTCAATATTGTTTCAAGTTCTCTTCCACAATTAATGAGCTCACAGCCTCATAAGGACCACGTAAGTTTTCAGAGCTATTAAGGAAAATAAATAACGAGTAGGAATAAAGCTTGAAAACCAGAGTCATTCTGGGATTGCAGGACGACAGAGTAACTGCACTGAAAGTGAATTTATTTATTTAGCCGGGTAGAAAGCTCTGTGGCCAAGAATTATTATTTAATGCTGACAGTGTGCTCACTGCTGTGCAATACACAGAAATAAACACTGCCCTTGCCCTGGAAAAATAGGCCCTTTGAAGCCAGCCGGCACTGGTAAGCAGAGAGGTGGTGATAAACTCTACTTTCTTAGGATAACATATTGCCTATTGTCTTTCCAAAGTGCCCTGCATAGTTTTTTATTTGCAGCAGTATGGAGAAACTGTGCATTGTATTCCAAACCGCATGTATTCAGACTGTGTGGGTCTTGAAGTGCTCCTCCCTTCTCCGGAGGAGCTAGTAGGCTGCTCAGTGCACAACTGATCAAGTAGTTATTTACATACTAATGTTCTTATCTCATCTTGCAGGACAGATTTTCATCCCAAACATTCATTAATGATTTTCTCCAGCCATGGAATAAAGCAATATGGTTGGAGAAGTTTCCTCAGATCTGCAGGTGACTGACAATGGAGATCTCAATTTTTGGTCTTGTTTGGTTTTCATAACTGAGTGATCTGGGTCAGGAAGTGGGGGGTTCACTTGGCTCATGATTTTCTCATGGCAGAAATCAAAAGGTTGTTACAGGATAAGCATAGCGACAACAGCGCTCGGCCCTTCTATAATATCTTGCACCGGAAACTTTCAAAGACTTCAACAAACATGACCCAGGCCTCGGAACACCCTTTGGTACACCCCTTTTACACCTGGATAAGCTAAGGCCACATCTCCACTTGCTGTGCTGGAGACTGATTTTCCGGCGTTCGA